ATTGCGTTGTATCTGCTTTTATATGCTGCTAGAATAGCCTTGATCAAAGCAGTCAAGTAAAATAAATAAATGACCTTTTGCACACATTCATTATTTCTGTTTTTTGTACAGATAGCCCTCAACTTACGACCACAACGGACCCCAAGATTTCTGTTGCTAAGTGAGACATTTGTTAAGTGAGTTTTGCCCTATTTTATGACCTGTCTTGCTACAGTTAAGTGAATCACTGCAGTTGAAAAGGTAGTAACACACTTCTTAAGTGAATCTGACTTCCCTATTGACTTTGCTTGTTAGAAGGTCACAAAAAGGGATCATATGAACTCGGGACATTGCAACCATCATAAATATGAGCCAGTTGCCAAGCGTCTGAATTGAGATGATATGATTATGGCGATGCTGCAAAGTTCGTAACTGTAAAAAATGGTCATAAGTCACTTTTTTCAGTGCCGTTGTAACTTTGAACGGTCACTAAATGAACTGTTGTAAGTCGAGGACTACCTGTATTTTCAGATCACTCCCTAATCTTTTTGAGAGGCCAGATTCTATTGCAATCTGGACTTCTCCCAAATCTTTTACAGTCTCCTCACTTATTTATGCATGGCATTGAGTCCAAACCGCTGTTCTAGACAGAAAGAAATTGGAATCTTGCCCTGTTTTCATATGGCATTCCATTTCAACACCGAGAACGCTTTCTTTGTGGAGAAAAAAAAATAACGCTAAAGAAATTTACAAAGCAGACCTGGGAGCTCATAATTTAATCTGAAGTCAGGGCACCTTGTAAATGCAGCACACATTAAACATATATTATATGCACCATGTCCTGCAGTTCCTGTGGCAAGACTTCAAAATACTGCAAGGCTGAGCTCTGGGACTACCCGGTAACTTATCATTTCAATAGAATCATTCAAAGCACTGCAGTGCAGAGGTGTAATCCCTTACCTATATGCCCCAAGCGAAGAAAAACAATTATAATTGTGAGTTGGTTGTAGGATATAAAAATGGGAAGGAAGGAAGGAAGGAAGGAAGGAAGGAAAGAAAAAAAGAAAAAAAGAAAGAAAGAAAGAAAGAAAGAAAGAAAGAAAGAAAGAAAGAAAGAAAGAAAGACAGACAGACAGACAGACAGACCATCCAGGACTTGACTGCAGAGGTGAAATATTCTGCATACTGCATTGAGAACTGCAGTGCTTGGGGATGGGAGAATCAACTTAAACAGATACAGTATCCCTGTACAGATGATTAGCATGGGTTTTTATAAAAAAATCTAGCCCTCACCCTTCTTGTAGAACAATTATATACCAAATTAAATCAAAATTTGTGATCTCATCCAGAGTAAAAACCATTCTTTTACAGATTTTTTTTTAAGCGTTCCATTAATAGCATCCAATTCAACAGAAATCTGGAGAGCTTCCCATCCCATGGATAATCAATTCTGATGCAGTGTGAAAACAATAGAAAGGAAGGCAAGGATTACATCACAGAGGGAGCTTGTAAACATAAATGGAGGGCGAATCAAAGGAAGACAGAGTCTTAACAGAAAGCATTTTTGTTAAAATGTTCTGATATTTTAATGAAGTCAACTCTGAAGGAGGATTATACTACGCCAAAGGTCCAGTGCCAGCATGTTAGAAAGCTGTTCCTTTTATGGAGAATAAGAGCTCCCTTCAGTGTTCAGATACGGGATGACACATTTAAGCAAAGCTACGTGCACAAGATTAGAAAGTGCTGTGTCCTTTACTGTACCTCGTGTAAGCATAAAGAGGGAGAAATGCTAGCAAAATTGTATGAAAACACACATGCTCGCTTTTCCTAAAGCTAAATGGGTTCTTTCATAGCATTATCAGGTACACAATTTAATATACAAAATGTAATACAGGCAAGTCCTCAACTTAACAACCTTTTGTTTAGCAATCATTTGAAATTACAACGGCACTGGAAAAAGTGATTTATGACCGATCCTCGTATTTATGACTGTTGCAGCATTCCCGCAGTCCTGTGATCAAATTTGGGTGCTTGGCAACTGGCATGTATTTATGATGGTTGCAACATCCTGGGGTCATGTCATCACCATTTAAGACCTTCCCAGCCAGCTGCTGATAAATTGCTTACCAACTGCATGATTCACTTAACAACTATAGTGATTTGCTTAACAACCGTGGCAAGGAAAAGGTTGTAAAATCAGGCATTACTCATTTAACAACCACGTTGCTTAGCAACAGAAATTCTGCTTCCAGTTGTGGCTGTAAACCAAGGGTTACTTCTGTGTGTGTATGTATGTATGTATGTATAGTCACCTCACTAGTTAAATAATTGAGAAAATTTAGACTGCTAACTAAACAAACGCAAATTGTATCATATTGGAGATGCATACCTCCAACATATGTACAGAGTTTCAATCACAACTCCTAGAGAATATTTACAAAGTGGAATTTTTAAGTCGGTGTAATTAGAAAATGTGTAAGATCGGACAGATGGTTTGAGATAGCAGCTGCAAAAAAATTGAAAAGCCACAGGAAAACACAACAAAACACACTCTTGCGGAAAAGCAAATCTCAGACTTGCAATCTGAGCTAATCATCACTGAGAAAACCTTGGCTAGTAATTTTCTATGGAGATTCTCAGTCATCCAAGTCATGGTTGTCTCAAAGGTGTTTTTTTCTTGTTTTTCTTTCTCATCTAAGAAGCTTCAGTCCAGTTGCCTCTTGAAAAAGCACCTTTTGGACTTGGCTAGTAACGTACAGTTCAAGTTCAGTAGGAAGTGAGGTAGGAATTCTAACAATGGAAAGAAAAGGGGGAAACATAATCCCATAAAAAGTGGGATATCTGAAATATCTATGGATATAGGTCACACTGATGATATTTGAAAGAAGTCAAACAGAACTAGAGGAAAACAAGGGATGCCAGCATTTTCAGGAAAAGTTTGAGATTTCCAGAATTTTGTTTTTCTTTTTAAAAAAGCTACACAACTCAGTGGGAAGAAAACATCTCTTCCTCTTCCTCTTCAAAGCATTGGAAATGATGGAACATGGCTTTCAGTTAAAACATAAACAGTTGAAAATACTCTAGGTGAACGATAAATGAATCAACTTGTTTCAACTCCAAATAATGTGTAGGGTAGCAACATTAACACACAATGAGATTAATAGAAAAAGAAGAAAAAAGTTTTTTTTCTGTGAACTGGATTCCTTGGAGAATGTTGAAAAGGGATTCGTTGCAGTCACTTTCCTGTTGGATGATCATTTTGGGAATTGAAATCTTAATATTGATGTCCTGAACACATCCTACCATTTCCAAACTTGGGCTCAAATGAATATGACTCTAGATCAGCTGCAGTGTGTTAAAGACGCAGATATTTATTTAGTAAATTTATACAGCCACTCATCTCATGTACATGACTCTGGGAAGCGCAGAAACTTAATAAAGAACAACAATTAATCACAAAACATAATTAAAAGCATTAAAAGCAGCAAAACCATTAAAATTAGAAAACAACAGTTTACTGCAGAAGGTCTGTTTCTCTAACACAGGGGTGTCAAACTGCCAGATGTGTCATGCCGAAACCGTGCCCACCCCAGCTCCGGCAATGGGGAAAAAGTCACGATACATCACGACACGACACGTGACATTGCGAGTTTAACACCCCTGCTCTAACAATACAAAAACAATGGTTCTTCTTCCTCAAGGAAAAAAACAGTCCAGTTGTCTTTTGGAAAAACATCTTTGAGAAAACAACCGGTATGACCTGGATGACTGAGAATTTCCACAGAAATCTAACAATATAACCATCTTACAGACGCCATAACCACATTATTGGATGCCCAGTCCTCATGGCCAGGTCAACAAGGTGAAAGCCAATCTGACCTCAGGGGGGATGATATTGCAGAGGGCAGGTGCCACAACAGAAAAGTCTCTCCTACTGTGTCCTATCACACAGCCTTGAGTTATTTATAATAAAGGTGAGATATAAATGAATACATACATACATGAGACATCTATACATACATAAAACAATACTCCTTTGTAGAGGGGACCTTCCCTGCTAGAACAGGTAGATGTAGGGAGAGGAGTTCCCACAAATACAAGTAGTCCTTGATTTACAACAGTTTAGTGACTGTTCAGTTACCATGGCATTGAAAAAAGTGACTTATGACCGGTTTTCAGTTACGACCTTTACAGCATCCCCCTGGTCACGTGATCAAAATTCAGACGCTTGGCAACTGGTTCATATTTATGACGGTCGCAGTGTCCCGGGTTCACGTGATCCCCTTTTGTGACCTTCTGACAAATGGGGAAGCTAGGATTCACTTCACAACTAGTTTACTAACTTATCAACTGCAGTGATTCACTTAACAACTGAGGCAAGGTCAGTCATAAAATGGGGGAACGTTCACTTAACAAGTGTTTCACTTAACAACATAAATTTTGGGCTCAGTTACGGTCCTAAAAGTCGAAGATTATCTGCAGCCTGGCCCCATAACGCTTTAATAGGTCATTACCAGCCCCTGACCTGCACTGGGAAGCAGATTGGAAACCAACACAATTTGTGGGGCAGAGATGTAACATGCGCAGATCGACGCGCGCACATCGCTGGCCACCCCACTGCATTTTGCACCAGCTGGATGCTCTTTCAGGGCGGCGTGGTTTCCAGCCCCTATTAAGTCGTATAAACCCACGTGCATGCGGCAGGGCATACAGGTAGTCCTCGACTTATGACCAAGGTTTGCACAGACATCGCTAAAAAAAAAAAATCAATAGGGCGAAGAGATTCCTGAAGAAGCGAATCGGTCCCATTTCATTCCATTTACACACTATGCATCTAAGCTCCTCCCAGCTCGCCACGTGCGGCCACGCCCACCACCACCACCCCCCCGCGCGCCAGCGAGCGCCTTTTCTTTCTCTTTTGCATTCCCCGCGCTTGGCTCTCCTGTTGCCGCCGCCTGGCGGAAGCCCCGCCCCCTGGATTCTCTCCGTCACTTCCGCCCGCTGAGCCCCGCAGTCCCAATATGGCGGCGCCCTGTGGCTCCTCACAGCTCTCCGCCGCCGAGTCGCCGCTCAAGATCCCCAAGATGGAGGTGCTGTCTCCCGGCTCGCCCGGAGCGCTGAGCGACGGCAACCCCAGCCTCTCCGACCCTTCCACGCCCAGCGGCGCCTCCCCGTTAGGCCCCACCGGAGCGGGGTCAGTGACGGCGGCGGCGGCGGCTACCTCAGCGGGGGCCAGTTCGGGGGGAGGCGGCGGCGGCGGCATCGGGGCCTCTCCTTCCGTCTCCTTCTCTCCGGGCAGCAGCGCCGCGGCGGCGGCGGCGGCGGCTTGCCGAGGCATGTCGTGGACGCCGGCCGAGACCAACGCGCTGATCGCCGTGTGGGGCAACGAGCGGCTGGTGGAGGCGCGGTACCAGCAGTTGGAGGGCGCCGGCACCGTCTTCGGCAGCAAGGCGCCCGGGCCCGCCATGTACGAGCGCGTCTCCCGAGCCCTGGCCGAGTTGGGCTACGAACGGACCCCGTCGCAGTGCCGGGAGCGCATCAAGGTAGGCAGCGCCGCCGCCGAGCCCGGGGATGCTGAGGACGCGGCGCTCTCCAGGGAAACCAAGCCCCCCCCCCACCCATCCCTGCCTCCCTGCCTCCCTCCCTGCTGGCGGCTGGGGCTTCTCCGAGGATGCGAGGGGCGGACGGGACAGCCAGGGTAGCCCTTGAACCTCGTCCCTTGCCTTCCCTGGCGAAGGGCTGCCGTCCCTGGCCAAGGGCTGCCGTCCACGCCTCGATGTTGCCCTGTTAGCTTCACAGCAACCACAGGGGCCCCTCTTCTCTTCCCCTTCCCCCCCCCCCCCCCGGCTTGGATCCTGCTTATATTTAAGAATTTGTGAAGGAGCGAGGTGGTCATTTAAGATTGGGAGCGGCGACTCCTGCCTGCCTGTTGAAAAGGGAACGAGGCGCTTAAAGAAAACCAACCCGTGCGATTCAAAGCCATAAAACAGGAGATGATGGATCATCCCAAAGGTGCTTTTTTTTCCAGGAGGCAACTGGGCTTTCTTGTTTTTCTTTGAAGACGTTTCGCTTCTCAACCAAGAAGCATCTTCAGCTCTGACTGGATGGTGGGGAAAGGAAGGATTTATACTCCTTGCAGACAAAACAGACTCGTCCCCAACAGCCTGCGCCTGTCTTCAACCGTGAACCCTTCCTTTCCCCACCATCCAGTCAGAGCTGAAAGAAGCTTCTTGGTCGAGAAGCGAAACGTCTTCAAAGAAAAACAAGAAAGTCCAGTTGCCTCCTGAAAAAAAGCACCTTTGGAATAATTATGACCTGGATGACTGAGAATCTCCATAGACAGGATGGATCGGGGCGAATAAGGTTAGAGGTAAGAATCCAAGGTTTTGTCAAGGCATAAAGTTGTGCTCTGGGGTGGTTGGGTGTTTTGACGTTCCTTTGGGGCCGAGTTAAGAGGTGGTGTGAATAATTGTAAGTCCTGGTAAAGAACGGTATTTAGGGACTGAGTTTGTGATAGTTTTAGCCCTCTAATGCAAAAGTTTTCATCTAAAAGGTCAGTGATGTGAACTTGGTTAGCTCTGTTTGGGGACTTTAAGTTTAACTGATATTAAGTTAGACTGAGAAAGACTGGCATTTAGGTGGGAAACACTCTAGGACGGTTGTCGCGGGCCGGACGCGTCATGTGGAAGCTGCGCCCACCCCATTGCCGGCAATGGCAAAACCGGCCCGATACGTTGCGTGACGTCACATGATGTCGCGACGAGTTTGACATGCCTGCTCTAGGAAATGAGTGGGGAGAATCATGCAGAATGTGTGGCTAGATCTTCCTGCTGTATAAATCTCTTTAATGCAGTAAACTTCAGAGAGAGCTAGTGCCAAACAGACACATACAAGTAATCTTTGATTTTTCTGCCAGATCTTTGATTTTTTTGCCAGATTTCAAAGGTGGGAGTAGTTACAAGATGATGCATATGTGGGTTGATTAAGGTGGACTTTTTTGAGCTGAATGAATGCTTCCATCTTTAAAAAGTAGTAGTGCCTTGGGTAGTATTTGAACTATCCATTGCTTCTTATGGTAGATGTAAGGACAAGCAGACACCTTGTAAAATTCTTTCTGCTAAAATTAAGTTCTAAAATTCAGAGCTTTATATATTGTCTTTAGACCATTCTGATTTTGTGCTCTAGAATGTGAAACTTCTGGGTATAGTCCATAAAGAAAGTCCGGCAAATGTGAGTGACATAAATCCTATATGGTCCACATGTATCATGATCTATTATGATTGTGAAATTTGTGGATTGCATTACATTTTTATTTTAATAAATGTTGCTTTTAAATAAAATGTTCCATGCTTTCTTCAGGAGTTGAAAAGTAGATTTTTTAATGCATGGACACTGCGCTTTTTATTAGTCTATCAATCATCACATATTTAGTATGTAGATTTCTGATATTTTGTGTGATTTTGTTTCTGGCCATAGTTATGAGTCAAATAATTTCAATATTTGACAATTGAAGGCTGTGTTTTGTAGGGCAGACAAACTGTTGTTGGTTCTGGTGTCTGGAAAACATATAAAAATGATTGAATATTTACTGTACATGCATTATGAAAATGGTTCTTATTTTATCTAGCTGAGCATAAATATTGTGAAATTTACCTTTGGGTAGAAATCCATAAGATGTTGTGCATGTATGTGTTTGTTTAGTCAGTGCTATATAGTTTTCAGCTGTATAAGAGTCATTCCTAAAGAAGTTTGAAAGGTTGGCCAACATTTTGAAATGGAATTGCATTTCTTGACAGAAATAGGTAGAAAGACAGCAAGCCAAATCTAGGAAAACAATTTCATACCTACATATTCTGTAAGACTGTGATTTGGGGGGGGGGGGGTTCATGAAAAAGTAAGAGTCTTACAAAAACAAATTGATGCTTTAAATTAAAAAGT